TTAGTATTTATTTATGGTTGTTTTGAGACAGGGCCTCCCTGAAACCCCGGCTGGCCTGGAACTTGATATGTAGACCAGGATGAGATCTGCCTGCTTCTGCCTCCCAAGTTCTGGGATTAAAGGCATGTGCCACCACTCCTGGCACCACTTTTTTTTTTTTTTAAAAAATAGGGCTCCTTTCAGCTGGGCATGGTAGTGCACTCCTGTAGTCCCAGCACTTGGGAGGCAGAGGCAGGTGGATCTCTGTGAGTTCGAGGCCAGCCTAGTAGGCACAGCGAGTTTCAGGCCAATTGGGGATACAGGGGAGACCCTGTTTCAAAAACAAACAAACAACAACAACAACGAAAAGATAAAATAAAATAGGGCTCCTTTCTACTGTCCATATCTCAGTGGGCTAGAATGGCCACTACTACTCTGTTGGGATTACAAGTGTGCCATCGCATCCTGCTTAAAAATTATTTATTGTGTGTATGTGTGTGAGAGAGAGAGAGAGAGAGAGACAGAGAGACAGAGAGACAGAGAGAGAGAATATGTATGTGGGGGCACTCATGCCATGGCACCAGTGTTGGGGGGTCAGAGAACAATTCGAAATTCTCTACTTTCACCATACGGGTTCTGGGAATCAAACTCAGGTTGCCAGGCTTGTAGGCAAATGCCTTTACCTGTTAAGTCATCTTGCTGGTCCTTTTAAAAACAAGAAATTTTTAACATAGGTTCTGGAAATCAAACTCAGGTCCTTGTCCTTGTAAGGCAAGCACTTTACCTACTGAGCCATCTTCTCAGCCTTGACCAGTCTTTTTTTTTTCTTTTTGAGACAGAGTCTCCCTGCAGTCCCAGCTGGTCTGGAGCTCACTATGTTGATCAGGCTGGCCTGGATCTCACAGAGATCAGCCTGCCTCTGCCTCCCCAGTGCTGGGATTTAAAGGCATGTGCCACCATGCCCGACTTAACCAGTCTTTAGTAAGGATGCACCCTATACATCTGAATGCTGACCTAAGCAGGGAACCCTGGCCATTCCACTTGTCAGCTATCTTGTTAGGGACATTGCCCAAACCATTTAACCTCTTTCTTATAGTAATACAGAAATGCTGCTTTCTGAATTGTAAATTTAAATCAGTATAGGACATCCGTGGTATTGCTCAACCCTCGAAAAACTTTGCCAAGTGAACTACTGGCAAGCAGACAGGCTAATGATGCCCAAGATATGCTTTCCTGTTTTAAGAAGCATCTATTAGAGCTCAGCGTGGTGGCGCACGCCTTCAATCCCAGCACTCGAGAGGCAGAGGCAGGCAGATCTCTCTGAGTTCAAGGCCAGCCTGGTCTACATAGTGAGTTCCAGGACAGCTGGGCCTACAGGGAGACCCTGTTTCAAAGACTATCTAGCTTAGGGGAAGCAAAACAAGTGGGTTTAATTCTGCTGAACCTTGGTCCTCTGAGCCTAGGGCCGAGGGCGGGCAGGTGGTCCCAGGCCATTCGAGATGGACTGGCCAGGGGTGGGAAGGCATGCGGGTCAGCAGGCAGGGCATCCTGCGACGTCTAACCGGCGCATCTTAGGGCTAGTTTTACGTAGGGCTCTAGGGGGAGGCCAGGTGGTGTGCATCATCACTAGCAAGTTAAGCTTGGTAGGAGACTCCAGGTTTCCCAGAGCTCTGACAAGTCTTGCTTTCCTAAATCCTCCCGACCCCGGCGGCCTCTTGAGTTCTCCTCCCACGATCTGGGGACCAGCACAGCCAGGATCTCGGGTTTCTCCCAGCGAGCGCTGCTGGACCAGGGGGCAGCTCTGCAGCCGCCTTCCGCCAGCCGCGGGTTAGCGGCGCCCAAAAGCAGGGCAGCGGGGGCGGGGCTCTGGTTAAGTCACACGCCTGCGCAGAACTCCAGCCTCGTAGTAGGACGGTCGGCTCCTGAGCAGCGGAAGCTACCGCGCCTCCGGAGGTGGCTAAGACTTGTGTCGGGTTCTTTCCAGCTCAGCCTTAAGGTAGAGCCTTGTCCGGGAACCCGGGTCCTGGGTTGCGAGTCCCCGGCCAGACACGCGCGAAATGGGCACGCACTCGTCCCCGGGTCCCGAGCACCCGAATCCAACGGCTCTGGTCACTGGAAAGCCTCAGACCGTGGACTAGGCGCAAGGACTCGAGTGGACAGAAAAGTGGAGAGAAGGCCGGGTGGTTCCCCCGCACTGGGCATCCCAGTCCGCCACGGAGCCTGAGGAGCTTCTGGCGTCTTCCTGCTCGGCTTCCAGAGAGGGCCCCTTCCGGCCTGGAGAGCTGATTTTAGCTGAAGCGGGGAGGCGAGAAACGCAGTTTAAGAAATGATTTAGGCTGCGCGACGTCGGACACTTTGACGGTAACTGGGGGCAGTCCGGTTCAGCGAGGTCGTGGGCGAGTTCCTGGCCAGACACTGGAGTTCCTCAGGGAAGCGTTTCTTGCTGAAGAAGCCAGCGTTGGAAGACTATGTATTATTGATGAGAATAGGGCCTACCATAACGTATCCGAAGGTAAGGGGAGAGGGTACTCTAGGGGTGTTCTGGTTCCGGGAAGAGCAAGGAAGGTTGCAGTACCGTGGCCCTGATAAATGTACTCCACAGCCGGCAGAATGTTTGGATTTGCAGTGTTCTCAAAAAGCAAATGCATGGTTTTTAAACACGTTAAGATATTGCTATGTTTAGAAAGCGGCAACTAGAACTTAATATACTAGAATTTACAGTCGCCATTCCCTTGCCTATAATGAAGACTATACTGTTAGGGTTCAGACCTGCAGCAGGGCCTCATGGTTCTGCAGGGCTCCTGAGAATGCAGGAACTGAGTTAATGAGCACCCTGATCTTGGAAGACCACATAAACAGACTCCACCTTTTGACCAGAGACCTGAATCCTGCAAGGACTTGCTTCAGCACAGCATGCTTCGTCTTTGATGATCTTAAAGGATAAACAGACTCCTTACACCTTTGACCCAGATCCTGGCTGATGGAAGACGAAGGGAGGAGGGCGGTTAGGCAGAGGCTATGCTCTCCTGATAAGCCCTGCCCCACCCCATCTTAAAAAAAAAATATTTCCCCGCCTTCTGCATCCGCCGAAGCCCCCTATAAAAGATGCCCAGCCAACAACCTGGAGAGAGACAGCTTCCCTATCCCAAAGGAAATGTCCCGTGCACTTTTCCTCTGCTAATAAACTATCCCACCAGAGTTTTGTCTCTGTCCTGGTGCTTTCTCCCGATAGATCCGATTCATCCATCATATACCAGTTAAAGTGATGTGGACTCATTAAGCACATAAACATTTACATCTGTTTTCCACTGCCCCTAAATGTTCACTTTCAGTACTTAAGAGAATGTTGAACTTGGGGCTGGAGAGATGGCTCAGTGGTTAAGAACACTAGTTGTTCTTGCAGAAGACCCAGGTTCGAATCCCAGCACCCACATGGCAGCTAACAACTGTCCGTAACTACAGTCCCAGGGGATCCTACAGCCTCTTCTGACCTTGGGCATTGCACGACATGGGTGCACTTACCTACACGCAGGCAATACATGCATACACATAAAAATAATAATAAAAAAAAAGAATGTTGAACTCTTTGGGAGTAAATTTTGTAATACTACTGTGACAGTAGGTTTCTTTTGTTTGGTTTTTTTTTTTTTTTTTGATCTTTTTGAGACAGGGTCTCCTTGGAGGAGGAGCAGGGTCTCCAGCTGTTCTGGAACTCATTATGTAGACCAGGCTGGCCTTGAACTCACAGAGATCCGCCTGCCTCTGCCTCCTGAGTGCTGGGACTAAAGGCGTGCGCCACCACACCCAGCAACAGTAGATTTTAATATTTTTTTAAATTTGTTTATGTATGTGTATAAATGCAGGTGTTCCTGTGGAGGTCAGAGGACTTCTCTCCTGCCACTTTGTGTGATCCTGGGATCAAACTCGGGTCATCAGCCTGTGTAGTAAGTGCTTCTTGGCTGAGCCGTCTTGCAGGCGTTTGTTTTTTTTTTGTGTGTGTGTGTGTCTGTCTGTGTGTGTCTGTGTATGTATGTATTAGGGTTGGGGCAGAGAATTAGTGATAGAGTATTTGTCTAGCTTGCACCAAGTCCTGTGTTGTATTGTGTTCATTTTCCTAGGGAGGTGCCCAGAAATGCCTCTTCACTCCAAACAGGACACCAGTATACTAAAGAGAGAATTCCATCCAAGTCTAGTTTGGCGAGCCAATAAGTTTATTTACATACCAGTGTACCACCAGAAAGCCCCACTGAGCATGGGTGACCACTGTCTAAAGTTACATCACTGGAGTCCCAACTCCAGTGAACCTTCCACCTCTTGTTCCAGCATCCCTCAAGACCATGTGCAAGTGGGGCAGGATTTATGTGCAGCTGGGGGAGGGACTGTTGGACATTCTCCCCAGCCCACTTCCATGATGGTATGGTAATAGGCCTGCTTTTGTGATCTTGTGTGGTCTCAGTTGGGTAATCACAGCTGCTCTGATTTCAAGACCACAAAGGCCATAGCATGCCTGGAGGGCAGATTCTATGCTAGTACAAGCCTCCCAAAACAAAAAACCATGATGGGAAGCCTGGAGAAATGGTTCAACAGTTAAGAGCACTGGTTGCTCTTCAGAGAACCCAGGTTCTGTTGCCAGCACATACATGACAGCTAACTGGAACAGTCGCCCTCTTTGGCATCTGTAGGCATTGCATGATCCAGGTGCACTTACGTATATGAAGGAAAAATTTGTACACATTAAAAAACATTTCTCTAAAAAAAAAAACCAAGAGCTGACATTAAATATTAAACATGAAATGATTAGTCTCTCAACTACATCACTTCTGCCTCATTTGACTTTTCCAATGTAATCATAGCAAGACTTTTTCTTCCCATTAGACAAAATCATGAGAGATTATGGTTTTTAAGGTTTTGTGCAGAGAGCTATTTAGTGTACTTTCTGAATTGACATCTGTCAGAGGAGGAATTTAAATACCAAACTTGCTAGGTTCTGACTTACCTTTTTGTCCCCCAAATGGTGACTACAGGAAATTTGACTTCAAGAAAAAAATATTTTATTTATGTTTGTGTTTTGTCTCCTTATATGTAAGTGCACCACATGTATATAGTACCCCCAGAGACCAGAAAAGGGCGCTGGATCCCTGGAACTGGAGTTACAGACCATTGTAAACTGCCATGTTGTAGGACCCTGAGACCGTCCTCAGAGCCCCCACTAATTGCCTTCATAGCATACTGCTTTAAACATGCCCTGACCCTCCCCCCCCCCACTGCTCCCTCCTCCTCCCCTCTAAGAAACTATAGATTAGGCAAGCCCGGACACAAAACTGCCCTATAAGGAGACTCCTGACTCCACAGGTGACAGCACATTCCACAACCCTGAGAACAGCACCCACCAATGGAAAACCTCCAGATCTGTACTCTTATATGTCCAATCAGTTCAAAATTATGTTGGCACGCGCGGGCTCCTTAAACCAACCAAAAATGTAACTTCAGAATCCCCCTCCTCCCGTTGTCTAAAACTTATAAAAGACTACATTCTCCCTTACTCCAGGCTCTCAGCACGGATCCGCTGCATTGGTGAGGTCTGAGAGCCCGAGCTTAAGCCCAAATAAACCATAAACCCTTGCTTTTGCATTTTGGTGTGTTGGGTCCTCGGTGGTCTTTTAGGGGTCCAGTGGACGAGGTATAACAATGTGAGTGCTGGGAGTTAAACCTGAGTCCTTTGCAAGAGCAGCAAGTGTTATCATCTCCCCAGTCCCCTTTGAAATGCTTTTAACTGATTTTTAAAAAAATTATCTTTTTATTTTATGTGTAAGAGTGTTTTTATTTTATGTGTTTGTGTGTTTTTGGTTTTGTTTTGTTTTGTTTTGTTTTGTTTTGGTCTTTTTCAGACAGGGTCTCCCTGTATCCCCAGCTGTCCTGTTTTATGTGTAAGAGTGTTTTTATGTGTAAGAGTGTTTTGCCTACATGTATGTAAGTGCACCAAGTTGTGCAATGCCAATGGAGGTCAGAAGAGGGCATCAGATCCCCTAGAGCTGGAGTTATAGATGGTTGTTAGCTACCTTGTGGGTGCTGGGAACCAAACCTGAGTCTTCTGGAAGAGTCAGTGTGCTTAACCACTGAGCAATGTTTCCAGTCCCACCTCAATTGGTTTTTAAAAGCTTATCTCAGAATTACATAATTTCATCTTGATATTAAAAGTATGTCCACCCATATTCTGGATTGCAATTGCTGTGTTATGTGTATCATTAGAGCCATCCTAGAAAACTCATTTTGTTGAGACCATGTAACCTAAATGGCAGCAAAAGCCAAAGTGTGCTCAAGTTATTTCAAAGTGTACCAGGGTTCTGTATCTTACTGAAACATCTCAGAAAGAATAACTGCCTTCACTAGGGCATGCTACTGAAGCCACTGCCCAAGCTGTCTCTCACTGCTGTGTGAGTATGTCTGTCTCTTTTTCCCATCTCTACCCCAAAGCCCATGGTACATAGGCAAGGAAATGCTTGTCTGAAAGAGGAAACACTGCTGCAAGAACCCTTTTGACTAATGTTGATGATTATGCATCTGTGTGTTATTTGATCTGAACCTTAATGCAACATTTCAGAAAATATTTCTTTTTGAGATGGTCTCATATATAGACCAGGCTGGCCTCAAACTCTGTATACAACCCAGGGTGGCTTTTTCCTCCTGATCTTTTGTCTCTGCCTCACAAGTCCTGGGATTGCAGGTGTGCCCCACCACACTTGGCTGTCAGATAATATTTTTGGAGCAGTGGGTTTATGGCTCAGCAGGTGAAGGTCCTTGCTGCCAAGCCTAAAGACCTGAGTTTGGTCCCTAGGCTCTACATTGGTAGGAGGGAACTGGCTCCTACAAATTGTCCTTGAATTCCATATACACACTAGATAAATTTAAACAAGAAAATATATTTTAGCCAGGCACGGTGGCTAATTGCTTTAATCCCAGCATTAGGGAGGAAGGGACAGGAGGACCTGTGAAGTGGAGGCCAGCCTGGTCTACATAGCAAGTTTTAGGCCTCAGCAGGGGCTACAGGCAGTCCCTGTCTCAAACAAACAAATAAAGAAGAAAATATATTTTGGCATTTTACAGTTTTGTTGTATAGTAACCAGAGCTGGCCTCCCAATTTGTGGTCCTCCTATCTCAGACTCCAAAGTGCTGGCAGGAAAAGCATGCACCACCACACCTGGCCACTTTGGCTTTTGACAACTAAACCTCTTCAGTATTTAAAAAAAAATTTTTTTTTTTTTTTGAGGCAGGATCTCCCTGTAGCAACAGCTGGCCTAGAACTCACTGTGTAGACCAGGCTGGCCTTGACCTCACAGAGATCTGCCTTCCTCTGCCTCCTGAGTGCTGGGACTAAAGGCATGTGCCACCATGCCTAGTCAATATTTACTTTTCTATTCAAAACTGTATTTAATTTGCAGTTTTGTTTTGACTGGACAGAAGAATCTAGAAATATTAGTTTTTACAAGCAGCTTTTCTCAGAGAAGATAAAAACTTATAGCTGGGCGTGGTAGTGCACACCTTTAATCCCAGCACTCGGGATGCAGAGGTAGGCAGATCTCTGTGAGTTCAAGGCCAGCCTGGTCTACATAGTGGTTCCAGGACAGCTGGGGCTGCAGGGAGACCCTGTCTCAAAAAGACCAAAAAAACAAAACAAAACAAAAAAAAAACTTACTAGATATGCTGCCTATTAGCAACTTTGAAAGATTTGGTATTGGGAAAATGTTAAAATTCTGACACTTAGAATCCCTTTCACTAACATTTGGTATAATGTAAAGGTCAAAGGTCAATAGCAAGATCTTTATAAGCTCAGCATCAGCATGACCTTCCGGTTTTGTTCCTGGTGGCGAGGCACTGGGCAAATTACTGTTTTTGAGACAGGGTCTCTCTAGCTCCAGCTGGTCTGGAACCCAATATATAGACCAGACTGGCCTGAATCTCACAGAGATTAGCCTTCCTCTGCCTCCTGAGTGCTAGGATTAAAGAAGTGCACCACCATGCCCAGCTCTGGCAAAGTACTTGTGGTTCCTCATGGGTTTGGTGGGTCGGGTTTGGTGGTGGTGGTGGTACGGATGTTTAAAGTTGTTCCTGTGATTATTTTCTTAAATTCACTTTTCTTTAAGCCAGGGTGGTCTGCTACTCTCTCCTATGAGCCCTTATTACACTTATTGCCTGAAATTTCTGATACTGTTTTGCAGTGCTATGTTATTTGCTAATTGATTCTTGAATTTTTCTTATTTTATCAAGCAGAATATAAATTCTTGGATAGGGCCAGAGTCCAATCCACTTTCACTTTTTATTCATTTTTTACTCTTCTCTGGTGGTAGTATTAAGTTAGAGTGGTGCTTGGTATGTGTTTTTGAGTCACTATACCATGTTTCTATCAAAGGATGTGAATATGATGCTACTGATGATGGACATTAGCCCAGGGGACATTGGTTTGGAAGCAGGCTCAGGCTCTTGTGGAATAAGCTTATTTTTATCCAGAGCAGGTAAGATTGGGGTAAATAAAATAGGTCTGGATGATTAAGAAACCAGTTTCTTCAAAATGACAAAATTAAAGAGATTAAGCTATTTGGAGAAATACATAACTCTGGTAGTTCTCAAATCTAAATGGAAGCACCTGTTTTTCTTAAGATTTTTGTGCCTTCATTCCAGCCATTCTTTCTACCCTTCTTTATATTTTCTTTGCTTTCTTTTACCCCTTTCATGTTTATACCTTTTAAAAGTGAAAGAGTATAACATAGCTCTAGAAAAGTACACAGATTATAAACATGTACCTCCATGAGTTTTTCCTCTAGTGACTGTACTGTGTAGGTAGTGCCCAGACTGAAGTAGGGAATGAGCCTGTACCCAGATGCCTCTTGCATGCGCTTCTGAATCCTCCCTACAGATAACCACTGTTCTGATGTTTATCATAACCAAATCATTTTGCTTGTGTCCATCCTTATTAATGGAATAGCAGAGTGCTTTGTATCTGGCTACTCTCATTCATCATTTGTGGGTGAAATTAAGCTTTCGGGGCTGGAGAGATGGCTCAGCAGTTAAGAACACTGGTTGTTCTTGTAGAAGACCTGGGTTTGAATCCCAGCACCCACATGGCAGCTAACAACTGTCCGTAACTCCAGTTCCAGTGGATCTGACAGTCTCTTCTGTTCTCTGCAGGTATTGTACAACAACGGTGCACTTACCTACATGCAGGCAATACACGCATACACATAAAATAAAAACAATAAATAAAATTTAAAAATTAAGCTTTTGAATATAGCAGTTCATTTTGTGTATGTGATAATATGTATGTGTTCATGTGCATGTGTGCATGCATGCGTGCAGCCCAGAGGTTGATGTTGAATGTTTTTAGATAGCTCTCTGCCTTACTAATTTTTGAAACAGGGTCTCTCACTAAACCTAGAGCTAGTTGATTTAGCTAGGCTGGATGGCCATTGAGCTCTAGGAATCTACCTGTTTCTGTCCCCAGCACCAGGGTTGCAGATGTGCATTGCCATGTCCAGCTTGTTACATGGGTGCTGGGATCTAAATTCAGGTCCTCGTGCTTCTGTGGTAATAGTCAGTCACTTCACCATCTGGGCTGTCTCCCTTTCTCCCCCTTTTCCATTTTAGTTGCTGTATAGTACTGATTTTGTTCTACATATGATTTAGCAGAAGGACAAGAAGTAATTTTGTTGTTTAAAGACAGGGTCTTGTATAGTCTGATCTGTCCTTGAACTCGCTATATCACTGAGAATGACCTTGAACTCTTGAGACAGGGTCTCACTGTGGATCCTTGGCTGTACTGGAACTCCCTGTGTAGACCAGGCTGACTTCAAACTCACAGAGATCTGCTTGCCTCTGCCTCCAGAGTGCCGTGACGGAAGGAGTAGACCACCAGGCTCAGTGATCTTGAACTCTTGCTCCTCCTGCCTCCACTTCCCAAATGCCAAATCACAGTTTATCCATATTCTACTATTGGTAGAAATAGTGTTGCTCTGAACATTCCTATTCTTGGTCTTTAGTACACATCTTCCTAGTAGTCTGGGTCTAGGTGGAAGCCATCATAATAAGATTATTTTACTTTACCTTTAGCTGTTCTTTGAAAAACAACTGTAGATCTTTAGTTGGCTCACAGAGTGTTCTGTTATCTCTGTTGGTTCCTGAGTCTAGACTCAACTCTGGAAGGATGACTACAGCTGTCCACCTCAATGGCCTTTATTGGAGTAGCCAGGATGACAGTGTAGGGTTCCTTCTGCTTTGTAGTACCTTGGTCTGAAGAGGATCCCTCTCCCAAGTTTTTTTTTTAATTAATTATTTTTATATTATTTATTTATTTATTTATTTATTTATTTGTCTTTTTGAGACAGGGTCTCCCTGTAGCCCCAGCTGTCCTGGAATTCACTATGTAGACCAGGATGGCCTTGAACTCACAGAGATCTGCCTGCCTCTGCCTCCTGAGTGCTGGGGTTAAAGGCGTGTGCCACCACTCCTGGCTCAAGTTTTTATTAGCACTTATTCCCCAGAGCTGATTTGGACTGTTATCTAGGGCAGTGAACGCCTGAATATTTTATGTATGAGTGTATTGCCTGCATGTATGTGAGTGCACCCATGTTGTGCAATGCTGCGGAGGTCAGAAGAGGGTGTTGGATTCCCCTGCAACTGGAGTTAAGGACGGTTCATAGCTGCCATGTGGGTGCTGAGAGTCAAACCTGGGTCCTCTGCAAGAACAGTCAGTGCTCCTAACCTCTGAGCCATCTCTCCAGTCCCAAGGGGTCTTTTTTTTTTTAAGAAGCAAACAAACATTTATCAAAAGATAAAGAATCACAACAGAGACAGAAGCAGGTTGATGGCCAGCTTGGTCTACAAAGCAAGTTCCAGGCCAGATGGGGCTACAGAGAGACCCTGTCTCAAAAAGACCAAAGGGAAAAAACCACACAGCACAGAAGGGCAAGTACTTGGTACTATGGCTGCCTCCAAAGAGGGAGATTGGGGGTTGGGGATCAGGGATGGGAAGGGATTTCTGTAACCTTGGCCTAGATACCTTTGAAAACAAGTTCCTGACAGTTTATAAAATAAATTAATGCTGTGAACTATCATAAATTATTTTTTGCTTAAGTTGGATTCCAAGGACAAGTCCTAAATTTTGAAATACGAAAAGACCACCGTGATCTGGCTAAGAAAAATTACAAATACTGGTGTGATTCATGGAGATTAAATCATATGGAAGAATGGCCAGAAAATGCAAATTTTATTTATAAGGATATTTCAAAAGCAGAAGACATTAAACCTTTAACATTTGATGCAGTAAGTTATTTAAAGTGATTTCTATGTTATTACTTTGAATATGAAGTAAATAAAGATCAAGGCCAGTGAGATGGCTCAGTGGGTAAAAGTGCGTGGCCATCAAGCCTGACAACCTGAGTTTGGTCCCTGTGACTCACATGATAGGAGTGAACTGACTCCTGCAAATTGTCCTCTGCTCTCCACACTTGCAGTATGGCACACAAATAAATGTAATCAAAAATTTAAAAATTAGGAAAAAGAAAAGGATCAGCCTCTTTTGTATGGGTGGTGGTCTTCTTTACATTTGCAGTATTTTTCTAGGACTGCAAAAATATTTTAATACCATGGTGGGAGCTGGGTCCAAGAGATATTGAGTCAGGTGCCAGAGTCATCAACAAATGAGGGATAATGACAAGAAGTAGAAGTTGGGCACCATGAGCCTCAATAGTTCCAAGAAAAATAATAATTTGGAAGCAGCATTAGGAGTGCACTGAGCTCAGTGCCTCACCTCAGTAGTGGGAATTGGGGGAATCTGTAGCCTACAGGCAAGACACATCCTTAGTTCACATCAGATGGGATGTCATGGTGCATGCTTGTAATCCCAAACACAGGAGGTTGAAGTCAGGAGCACCGGGAGCTCAAGGCCAGCCTCAACTACACAACAAATTTGAGGCCATTCTGGACTACTTGACACCCCGTCTAAAAAAAGTTAAAGCCAGGCATGGTGGCACATGTCTTTAATCCCAGCACTTGAGAGGCAGAGGCAGGAAGATCTCTGTGAGTTTGAGGCCAACCTGGTCTATATAGTGAGTTCCAGGCCAGCTGGGGCTACAGGGAGACCCTGTCTCAAAAAGACCCCCCCCAAAAAAAATAAGTTAAAATTTTGATACAGAGAGGAGCGTTTGTTAAGTTGGGACTAGGTACTGGAGAGATGATTCAGCGGTTAAGAGCACTGTCTGCTCTTGCAGAGGACCTGGCTTCAGCTGCCAGCACCCTGATTGGGGCTAACAATGGCCTGTAACTCCAGTTCCAGGGGATCCAATTCCCATTTTTGGCCACCTTGAGCATTGTACAACATGGGGGCACTTAAATACATGCAGACAAAACACTCATATACATAAATTAAAAAAAAAAGTTGGAAGTTGCTCACGTGAACTTATAGCAGTGGTGACAGCATGCACAAGACTCATGCGAGTTCAAACCAGGTGAAAACAGCATAGAGGTGGGGAAATGGGCAAGACGCCCCAACCTTAGCTGAGGAAGGATTGGCAGCCAGTGACTGCTGGGAGAGGAGAGTGGGTTTTCTTTTTTTTTTGAGACTGGGTCTCCCTTGTAGCTCCAGCTGTCCTGGAACTCACTATGTAGACCAGGCTGGCCTTGAACTCAAGAGATTTGCCTGCCTCTGCCTCCTGAGTGCTGGGATTAAAGGTGTGTGCCACCACGCCCAGCAAGTTGGTTTTCTTCAAGATATTGACACTAAATAGGTTAATAGGTTGACCAGGCTCCAGTGGATGGACTCACACCTGGGGACATTTGGGGACACAAATGTGGCTTGATAGGCCTTAACATATATGACAAAATGCATAAAATCCAGTGGGAGGGTACAGATGATTGGGGAAGGGATCTTTTTTTTTTTGTTTTTTTTTGGTCTTTTTGAGCTGTCCTGAACTCACTTTGTAGACCAGGCTGGCCTAGACCACACTGGCTTTGAACTCACAGAGATCTGTCTGCCACTGCCTCCCTAGTGCTGGGATTAAAGGTGTGTGCCACCATGCCCAGCAGAGGAAGGGGTCTAAACGATGAAGGTATATTGTATGAAATTCACAAAAAATGAATTTTAAAAGTTACTTAAATTTTTTTTTTTTTAAAGTTGAGAATAGCCAGGGGTGGTGGCGCACACCTTTAATCCCAACACTCGGGAGGCAGAGGCAGGTGGATCCCTGTGAGTTCAAGGCCAGCCTGGTCTACATAGTGAGTTCCAGTACAGCTGGGGCTACAGGGAGACCCTGTCTCAAAAAGACCCCCCCAAAAAAAAAAAGAAAAAGTTGAGAATAGAGGCATTTATTGTGAAAGCTGCCAAAGATAGATTTGATAGAGTAGAAGGATTTGTAGCAGAGGGAGGTAGGGGTAGGGAGAAGTAGAATAGCATAAAGAGTAAGGATAGATGAAAGACAGGATGCTATTTAAACTGGCAAAAGATGGTGGAGATGGTCAGGGAGGTAGCACTGGCCTCAGAGCTTCAGGATTCTAGCATTACCTTGTCTTGTCCTTGGTGATGCCACTTAATAGTTTGTGGCTTGACTTGGGCCAGGGTAGGAAGTTTTCCTTGCTTTCCCTAACTGACTGCCAATAGATTGTATTATTTTGGTGAAAAATGTAAAGAAGTACAGAGTCAGCACCAATTTCCATCTCCATTCAATTGACACCTATAGTTCAGTGATCACAGTTCTTTCGTTTTTGTTTGGCTTGCATTCCACAGCTCACTAAGGGTAAAGGACTCTGATGAGGCCACCTATGGGAGCGTCCACAAAATCTGGGAGATAAATTGATCATCAGAATTGTGTCTGATGGACAAGAAACACAACGAGTATCTTAATGTTATTGTCAAAGGTTGTAGAAACCTGTTCAAGTATCCCTGATCTGCAGAGTTGTGTTTTGTTTTTCCTTTTTGAGACAGAATCCCACTATGAAGCACTGACTGGCCTGGAACTTACTATGTAGATCAGGCTGGCCTCAATCTCACAGATATCCACCTGCTCTGCCTCTCATGTGCTGG